CCTTAGCAAAGCGCATCCCAGGCTGCATAGCCGCACTACCCTACCCAACCATACCACACATAAACATGACACTACCCCCGGGGTTTACACAGACGAGCCGGCGAAGCAAGAAGAGCGCCAGAAGAAAGGGCCCTAGCCGGCGGGGCCCAGCCAGGACAAAAGGAGGTCCCACAAAGCGCCTACACCGGCCGCATTTGCGGTCGGGGTAGACGACGGATGGGGCCCACCTACGAAGGCTGTCCAGGCCTACACGAGATGAGGCAGGATAAAGAGGGATAATCCCCCTCGATCCCAAATCATTGAGGCCAATTTCTAACCATAGAATAATGGCGCGACCGTCGTTTTTACGGACCGTGGCTGTAGCCTCCCATAGGTTGGACGCGTTACAAGGTGAAGAGAGAGATAGCTAATATGAAGCATTTACCATCTCTCTCTTCGCATTGTAATGTACCCAGCCGTTGAGAGGCTATTTCCAGTGCTCGAAGGTTTAGGGTTCAGATCATGTTCAGATACTCCTGAAAGTTGTTTGGCAATGAAATTTGAACGCCCTTTTTTAACTATTAAACTTAATATTTCCCGCCTAAATAGATTACCACAAAATTTGTGTCTTCTGAACAAGTAGTTTTGCATTTGCTTTTAATAAAAGTTAATTTTAAAGAATAAAGAAAATTTGTTCAAGAATGAATGTTTATAAATTCAATTTGATCACTTATATGACTCCACCTTCAGAATCTTGTTCGTTGCCCGAATTACAACAAATATGTGATGAACGCTTACAACTCTATAAAATAATGGTTGAGGCTTATAATTTAGGTTACAAACCTAATACTGTTGTATGGGACGAATATGTGGAATTGCAAATAGTGCAGCGTAAACTGTCTACACATATTATTTTACTAAAGAATGAAGATTGTAGTGTTGGTCAAAATAATGCAAGAAGACACAACTACATTGCTCACTGGTTGTTAAGTATATGTAAGTAACGATTATGTGGTAAATTTAGCTGTTAGCTACAGTTATACTTATTTTAAGGTTACTGTCGAACTAGGGATTTAAGAGTATTTTTCATGCGATGTGAGCTTCAGTGGTTTGTAATGTTATATAAGAGGATGAAAGATGAAGAGTTGCAACAATTCTTTATAGACAGCGAACTTGAGTGTACACTTGTTAGTCAGAAAGAGAAAAATTTGCTAAAAGATCAATTGCTTATGTGTACAAAGATGAATGAAATTAATTTGCTCAATACAATCTTCTACAAAATACATTTCAGTGAGGTCACTAATTTATTAGCAATAAGAAAAGTATTTTTGTGTAAAGGTTTAGCTTATTTTCCTCAAAGTTATTTGGTATACCACATTAAATGCAAGTTGTGGAGGCTGTTCAGCAGCCGACTAATTTGGATTAACAAAGTGCTTCCAACAGCTATTAAAGAAGACCGTATGGAAAATTTTTTAAATAACTTATTACTTGTTTTACCAAGTTATAAAAGATTTAGTGATAAAGATGTTATAGTAAACTTAGAAAATATCGATGACATAGCGGAAGTACACTATCCCCTCTGCATGAAAACTATTCATTCAGTGTTAAGAAACGAACATCATTTAAAGTATGACTGCAAAATGCAATACGGGATATTTTTAAAGTGGATTGGTTTGTCATACCAACATGCTATGATATTTTGGAAAGATGAATTTACCAAGAAAATGTCTTCCGAGTGGTTTGAACGTAAATATTCGTATTTATTTAAGCATCAGTATGGTCAAGTTGGGGGAATGATACAATATAACCCATTTAGTTGCGAAAAGATTCAGAATTCATGTCCGGGCCCAGGTCAACATCATGGCTGTCCGTTTAAGCACTGGGATTTGGATAAACTATTACAAAGGTGTCAAAGTGACGGATTTACTATGTACAATATAAAGGATCTAAGAGATCTTGTCGTTAGTAATAAATATCAAGAAGCTTGTATGATGTACTTCAGTGTGACACATAAAGCCACTGTGGAAAATATATTTAAAAGTCCTAATCAGTACTTTGTAGAGAGTTATGAACTTGAGGAGTCTTTAAATAATTGTTTAGTAGACATTTTTGTTGAATGTTGCGATCAGTAGGATATTGTGGGAAATATGAAGACTGAAATAGAATACAATATCAAAGAAAATGAGGAAACTTACCCGATCTGAAAGATATATGATGTAAACTAATGTACTTCTCATCAGAATTAACACATTAATAAAAATGAATCCCAATTTCAAAGTTGTTGCCTCTGACAAATCACTAATACAATTTTGATAATCTCGTTTTTGAATTGTAGGTATTATAGCCCAGTCGAGTCGTCATTTAACCGGGAAAAAATTAGGGACCACAATTTTATTGTTCTAGCCTTTAGGGGAGGGTTAATAGTAGTGTAAATTCAGAATCGCGACTGAATTCCACCCCTGCGTCAGCCGCCATCTTGAATTTAATAAAAAATCGTTTTTGCTCAATATCTCGGCCATTTTCAACTTTACAACAAAAATGGTAAGGACTTAAGTTGTTGGAAATGCGATTTCCTACAACTTCTTTTATTACAAATTTTATCGTTCGATCGATATTTTTCAAGTTAAGGGGGAAAATAGTGACAAAGTATAATTATTGAATTATCTCTTTTGTTATTGACTATACGNTCTTGTTTCATTTCGGTATCTCGATCCGTTTTCGAGAAAAATCGATTTAACGAACACTATGTTTTGATAATATGAGAAATTAAGAGCGAAACAAACCAAGTGTTTCTTCGTGTTATTATAACAATTAACAATAAAACAAATAAAATACGTAATAATGATTTAAAGTAATTGTTCGAAGAATCCACCGTTGACACTGATACACTTTACACGTTTTCTGAGAGATTTTCAAGTTTGAAACAACATATTGGGATTGCGTCTGACTTCGTTGGCAGCGATTTGTATTCTTTGCCACAACTCTTCTCACGAGCCAATAGAATCTTTGTAAACTATATCTTTCATTCGAGACCAAATAGAAAAATCAAGAGGATTGAAGTCCGGACTTCTGGATGGCCAAGCAAAAATGATTACATGGCCAATCTAGCGATTTGGAAAAACTGCATCTAAATATGCACGCACTGGCCAAGAAAAATGCGGTGGAGCTCCGTCGTGCATGAACCACATCTCTTCTTAAATAAAGTGGAACTTCTGCAAGCCGTAGAAGCATTTTTACTTGGCCACCCAGAAGTCCGGACTTCAATCCTCTTCATTTTTCTGTTTGGAAGAATTTATTGGTTTGTGTATACAAATCGCTGCCAACGAAGTCAAACGCAATCCCAATATGTTGTTTCAAACTCGAAGATCTCTCAGAAAACGTGTAAAGTATGTAAATGTCAACGGTGGATTCTTCGAACACTGACTTTAAATCATTATTACGAATTTCATTTGTGTCATTGTTAATTGTTGTTATAACACGAAGAAGCACTTGGTTTCTTTCGCTTTTAATTTCTCGTATTATCAAAACATAGTGTTCGTTAAATCGATTTTTCTTGAAAACGGGTCGAGATACCGAAAGGAAACAAGAATACACAATTAATGGAAAAATTATTGTTCTTTCAGGTTTTGAATCAAGTTTTATGTTAGATATACAGGGTAAAAAGTTATTAACTAAATTTTCGGTAAAATTGGTCGTAAGTGGCGCTCTCTACAAGCAATGCTGAAATTACAACATGCGTCTTATTCGTCGCCTAAAAAAATATAGTTTCACAAATTTTCAATTTCAATTTTCCCATTGTTAATGGTTCACCCTGTACATTATAATATGGGGACTTATAAAATAGTCTAAACTAATCTTTATTGTTAAGGGAACAGTCTAAATTTTTTAACATTGCAATATTTGCAGGGCATCCACCAAATGTTAATGACATAATAATCGTTTCAATCGTGAGCAATACAAAACCGATTGAACAAAAGGCAGATTGATTAGCTGTAACACCATCCACAAGAAAACATTCCAGATGTAATTTCCAACTTTCCTTTATGGAATTTAAAAGAAATACAAAAACTTCTTTTGCCTTTTGCAACTGTATATTGTCTATATCCATAGTGACATCTGCTCTGTAATCTACATATGCATAATATTTTTTGCCATCCCATTATATGTGTTGACGAATAGGTAGCCATTTCATGAATTATCAAAATAACGACAATTATTTCATTAGAATTTTCAGATTTGCTTTTAAGAATCTGAAAGGTTTCTTTTGTGAAACCAGGATTTCCATTTATTATTTGATTTCCTTGTTGTTCCAGGGTGAGTAAGCAGCATGTGCCAAATGTGTCTCTTATGTATTCGTAAGCTTTTGGTGAATAATAATGCAACTTCAGGGCACAAGAACGAAGTACAGGAGAATAACCTCTTGGAGTGGACCCGTTGTTTTTAAATATACTTCTTAAAAATAATTCTAATATACGCAAATTGTCTTCAAAATACGTTAAATGTAATTTCATCATTATTCACCAATTTTTCCTCACGAAGTTTGTCGAGAATACTTTTTAAACTGTTAATTTTCTTTTTTAAACGACGATTATTTTGCTGAAGGCGGGATATAATTTCTTTTCGTTTTTTAGAAATGAAGAAAAGCCGTCTAACTTCGTATTTTAGTTTCTTCTTTCTTGGGGTATCATCACTAGAAATGTTTATATAATCCTCTTCATACTTTTCATTATCCGAGATATTGAAAGTTGACATCGAAGATGTAGAACTTAAGTCAAAATATGACGACTGCGGCGTGGTAGGTCGGCTGACAGGAGATGTAAATGAATCAGAAGAATTGGACTGTTCATGTTCATAAAAAAAATTAAAATTGGTTGATACATCAACATTACTTGAATTTATATCATCAGTTTGAGTGCCTTTAGTTGAACAAGTCTGTAAAACAAAGATATTTTTAAAATAAAAAAATTATACCTATGGGTATTCTATATAATATAAAAATATATTTTAATTTTTACGAGATTATTTTGAAATTAGTGAAGAAAATTTTGTAAAATTCAGGCTTTGAACGTTATAATGAATTTGGAACAATGCAATATTGTCAGATTTATGAAAAAAAATCGTTGATTTTTGGAAAAATTAGTTAAAAAAAATCACAACACACCACTGACATAGAATGAGGTGAGCATAATATATTCAATAAGTACATAGGAAGAGACCTACATGCAAAAAAAAATTATTCAAATGCCAGTCCAGGGAAATGTAACAGGAGTGTTCCAGGTCAAACTTGAACACACTGTGCATAAATCAATTACTTATATAATTACTTACTATTTCTGGTAGATCTAATGTGGGAACTGCATTTTTTGCTAATTTGCGGACTCCATTGTTATAGAAAGTTAAAAATTTTTCTTCAAAGTGATTAGAACATATACTAGAAAATTTTGATGGTATCCAATCCTGTTTTTTAATAGCCTTCACCCATCTTCGTTTCATGTTAACATCCTTTGGAAATCTGTAAAATTTTAAATATTAAGTTAAGAAAAATCGAAGCAAATATAAAAATTTGGTAATTATTTATGTTACCATAAAACTCTGATCTATCTAATCAAATTTTGCCAACGCAGGATGCTCAACATGAATCTGAAATTAGTTTTTGCGATTTTTTCGATCGCAAAAAATATCAGATTACTTTTCAGCTCCCTCGAAATTACGAAAATTGGTAAAATTTCATATAAATTTCAGACTATAATAATAATATTACGTTTACCACTACATTATGTAGGTGAACAAAATTTAAAGCCAACCCTGGAATCTCGTGAACAATGGCGTACATAATGATTAAAGTTTACGTTTTATATATTACTTTTTTCACTTACCTAAAGAAAGAAATTTTTGGTCTCTCTTTACCAACATGTCCACTTCTATTTATACAATGTCCTACAATACACTTGCCCATGATAAAATAACAAATTATTAAAATCACAGATTACAGCAGTATGCACAACTCAAGTTGCCAGTAGTGATGTGTCGCTCATGAACGAGTCGTTACTTTTGAACGACTCTTTTTGATGTGCCGTGAACGAACGACTCACTTTAAGTGAACGATTCGTTCATTTGGAGCTACAACACGGCACACGTTCAACAGCTCGCACGCTCTAACGGCGGGAGCTGAGAGCTGAAGTGTGCCATGTATGTGCGGGAACGGTACGAGTCAACGTGGCTCACAGAGTACCAACCAGAGATCCGAGTTGATAGGGAAAAGTTGTCTCTGTTTTTTATCTTTCTCTGAACCTTATTAAACGCAATACTTCTCTCTTTGTCGCTTTAAATGTAAAACAGAGGTAGGTGGAGCTAGAGCTCGTCCTCGGTATAGAAGAAATTTGAAATGGGTTTGGGAAATAATAATGTTTCTTATGAGATTAAATTTTTTGAATTTTATAAAATTCGACAGATGGCCAGATAAGAAAACGAGAAGTTGATAAATTCAAGATACGTTCAGTAAAACTTATATGGTTTACAGAAATTAGTTAAATAGCAATGAAAATAATATTAACATTATGACGATCGCATTTTATATAACCTACGCATAGGTTGCAGGTAAGTACGTAAGTAAGTAGTTTATATATAGCGTTGATATTTGTGTTGTATAGTATTTTTTCAGTGCCCATTATTGTATTGACTGTTAATTTAATGTTTAAGTGTGTTTTTTGCGTGGAAAACTTTTGGTTTTCCAATTTTTTTGACACTTGTGACAATGACATTATATTGTATTATTTGTGGATATTCCGAAGAAGATGTGAAAAAATTATTCTGTTTTCCACGAAACTCAGAGAAGTGAGAATTATGCATAATTTTTATTTTGACAAATATACATATATGTATATTTTTCCTTGATGATATAAGTAAACTTGTTACTATAAATATGCGAAAAAAAATCTCATCAGTAATCGAAAAATATATGATAATTTTACTACTGAAAAAAAAATATCTATCTGTTATAAATTATAAAATATGATAATTATTTACTACAGCGTAAAACTCTCAAATCATAATAAAAATATATTCCACTAATATATAAAAGAGTAGTTAGTACTTATTATATTTATATCTTATTTAGGTATGTCTAATATGTCAGTATATATAATTTATTGTATTATATTTTAGATCCAAAATCTGGCAAAAATCCCTTGGTATGATATATCAGGAAAAATTATCTGCACATATAC